GATTTGGGTATGGAGGAAAATAGAGAGGGTTGTGTTTTCTGACACTTGGTGAGTTCCCTGGAACACCGGGGACACATATTCATGTATAAAAGACGTACAAAAGTGCATTTTGCATGATAGGTCCCCTTTAAGGGATTTCGATTGTTTTGAAGTGGGCTTGTGTGGGGTCCACAGTCTGTGTTTTAACTGATGTAGATGACGCCACATTTTTTTGAACTAACAGACCGGAGTACTAAGATGGAAGCAAAATACATTTTAGCCATCTGAGAGAAAGGCACACCTTAAAAAAATCAATATCAGTTCAAGCTATATTTTGAATATTTGTTTTGCCGTTATCTCTGCTCTCTTCAAAACCACCAGACGCCATCGACAAACATTTTAATTTTCCTCACAGAACCTTCTTGTTACTGCTACCTTGATCGGTTATTTTGATGGTGTTATTGAGCGAATTTGGTGTTTTAGGGCGCCATTATCTCGTTGGCTAGTCCATTTCAAAGTGAATTTGACACTTTTGGTTCATATTTTTTAGTTTTACACAATTTAAATCAATGAATTTGCTGAAGGACGTGTTCAAAAGAATTGTTTTCTTTGATGATACTGGCAAAAATCTATTTGAGTGTCCCTACTGAACACATTTGGAAAGTGAAAGCCTCCCATTTACCAGAAATATCTTGTTCCACTATCTATAATGACACTCTCTGTTTGGTGTCTCTGTAGCATCTGTGGTTCTGACCTGTTGTAACATTTTTCAGCTATGTATGTCAACTCACTTACAACGCAGCAACAGATCTATAAATGCATCAGAACAGGTGCTCACTCCAGCCCAAATGCACCACCGACCCACTTTGTAAACTAAATCACTGCTGAGTGCTTGTCATTCGCTAGTGACCTTTACAAGCTAAACCCTTATTCAGTTTAAGCTGATTTATAGATTATAACATGAACTGTTGACATATCTGTGATGCATCAGACATTTGTACTGGTATTTAAACCGTGTATTATTTCCTGATAGCGTAGAAGTCAAGCTGATCAGCGGGGTTAAACCTCTGCTCGCTCTTTTTCAACCAGTTTCTCACCTGCCCAGCATGACATGACTTCAGATGAATCGGGACGGCTGCTCTGAAGGGAGCCATTATGCCAATGTCACATATATTTGTCACAACCGCAGAATGTGACCAGAATGTTTCCGACTGAAACCATTAAAATGTCATGCTTATTGTTCACTGTCATATACGCTTCCAAACAGCCATGCAGTGTAATCACAGTGTGCGGATGCAGCTGTCAGTTTCCCAGCCTCGGGCAGATTTTTGGGACCCCGGTGCAGTTGTTATGAGAGTGTTTGTGATGACCTGCAGAATCAATGCATGTGAGCACATCTGGAAGAAGTGCGTGGCATTTGACCAAAATGTGACATAAAGGATTTGTGTTTTACTGAAATACTTAGCAAGAAGATCTGGAATAAAGCAATTCTTCTCCAGTCTTTCCCATACTGCGTCCATTCAGATATGTTGTTAGCAGAAGCCGAGCGAGCCCTCCATCATTCATCAGCCTTTAAAGAGAATGGAATATGTCACATATATATTCAATTGATTAATGTATTCTCAGCAGCCTTCAGAGCCTAATCTAATTAATGCTCTCTGTGAAGAACATGGGCTTTGGGAGGGTTCAGCTGCAGAATATTTCTCACTGAGGTGGGTTTGATTATTAGCCGTCTCGGTTTCCCAGACAGAATCTGTAAACACTGTGATCCCCTGTGAGAAGAGCTGATATTTATCTACGAGAACACACAGGCCTTCTGGATATTCTCAGGCAATTTCGGCGGTGGATTTTGACCAGAACTTAAAATTCCTGTCCGATTCTGAAAAAAAATCCATACGAGATAGCGGCGGTGTGTTGAAGCAGCTGGGAGGTAAAAAGTTGTTTTGTTAAGTACACAGGCAAAAGGCAATCTAAAATGTGCACCTGGTTGTTGGGGCATGTTTTCACTTTATGAAATTCTTGCAAATGGAGTTTTTTTTAATTCAATAATTTGTGAATAATTCCCAACAACAGTGAGCCTCGGTTTCCCTCCATCGATCTTCTGCTGGGAGTTAGTCGTGTTAGATGTCTTGGAAGCGGGACAGCGAGGCGACGTCTTTCCGCCACAGTGGCAGCTGCTTTCCCCAATTCACCAGATGCTTTCACCGTGCAGCCAGACAAACACATTTCCAGAATGGAACCGGGGTTTTGATAATTGTTTGTTACCTCCAGGAACGGCTGGTGGAGCAAACCAAACAATAATTTTACCGCTAATTTCCCACCTTGTTTGGAACTGACACGCTGAGTTTGACTCATGCTGTTTTCAGTGTGTGTCGGAGATATCAGATAAGATGGAACTTTATTAATCCCCGTGGGGAAATTCAGTAGTTTAACAGCAACAGGGTAAGATTTGAAAAACAGGACAGCACAGATTCACACAGATTAATACAATTAAGGATCAAATTAATTAATAAATAAACATTTAAAATGGTAAATAACTATAAAATAAGAAGTGAATGAAATTGAACATATATACATATTTGGGTGTGTGTGTGTGTGTGTGTGTGTGTGTGTGTGTGTGTGTGTGTGTGTGTGTGTGTGTGTGTGTGTGTGTGTGTGTGTGTGTGTGTGTGTGTGTGTGTGTGTGTGTGTGTGTGTGTGTGTGTGTGTGTGTGTGTGTGTGTGTGTGTGTGTGTGTGTGTGTGTGTGTGTGTGTGTGTGTGTGTGTGTGTGTGTGTGTGTGTGTGTGTGTGTGTGTGTGTGTGTGTGTGTGTGTGTGTGTGTGTGTGTGTGTGTGTGTGAAAACAATGTGTATTTGA